GTAATTTAAGTTTTAAATTGACATTTTAGTAGTTGAAAACGAAAGGAAATAGGCACATAAGTAAATTTAACAAGTAAGCTAAAATTCAAAAGAAGCGTATTTTTTTAACACAAAGAGCAGAAATTGTATGATAATATTATTCCTACTATTTACTTAATAATGTAATGCCTTAATACTTATCCTACTGTCCCATCAACATGAACATTTAATATCTATCAAAATATCTATCAAAACTAATATATATGTGTAAATATATATCTTTGCAAACGACGTTTTACCAAATAAGTTTGTCTTGTATTTCGCCTTCTCAGGCGTTGTTTACCAGTATCAATAATTGTTCCGATGCGAATATTCATACACAAAATAGAACTTTTTACACTCATACAACAATTTATAGACATTATATACATGTAAACTTAAATTCGCCAACGCAACCGGATCTCGTTTTTAAATTACTTTCATTGATACTGTGCCTCTCGTTGATGCAGATATAAACTGTATACCTGGAAATAAGTTAATCACGCTCTGTAAAATTACAATTGATTGTGATTGAAAGCACTGTCATGAGACGACGACTTAATTGAGCTAAAAAATAGTAATGTGATAAGTAGCAGTTAATCTAAAAGTTTAGTTAATTCTTAACCAAATTATTATGTACCCAAATTTTTAATAACGTGTGTAACCTCCACGTGCTCAAATGATAGCCTCAACCATTATTCTCATACTACCAGTAAGGCATCTAATGCAATTTTGAGGTACATTGTGCCATTCTTGGTGCAGAGCTTGTTCCAGATGTTCCACGTTGACTACAGGTGGTTTGAGGAATTGTCAAAATAAAATTTAAAATTTCAGTTGTGGTCATGTCAAAATTGAGGCAAATGCCGGGTTTGAGGAGAAAGGTTGAGACCGTAATCCTAGCAAATGGCGATTACACACGTTATTAAACGTTTGGCTACACTATGTCCTTTTAGGTGACGAAATCTTAAACATTTGGCTACATAATGTTCTTTTAGGTTACGAAATCGTCAAGATTTACCAAACATATCCACAAGTAAATGGTTTTTTGCAACACTATACTTATAAACACTTACATTTTTGGTAAAAGGCAACACTTTTGCTTATGGTTCAACAATTTTGTTAAAAATAACTAAACCCATAAATTTACTCGTTTACGATTACTTAAAGATATATTATGCTCAAATTTGATATTCGAAAATATTGATAATTGCTACACAGACTCTTTGTAAACATAATATAAAAAAAGGTTTTGACTTCATACATAGTAGATATATTATGTTAAAAATTCTAAAACTATAGGTGGTCACAATATGAATATATAGTGTCATTAAAAAAACTGGCAGTTTTTTAAGAAAAGACCAACTTTACTTGACCCGTATCAGGGAATGCAGCTTCCCATTCACATTTTATTCATTATTTTATTCATTCTTTTATTCATGTCAGACATATTCAGTTAGAATTTCATAGATTTTAACACATTTCTGTGATTAATTTTTTTCACCAAAAGATGAGCATATTATATCTTTAATTGGTATCGTATTTTTTACAAGATATCGATCACCAGATATCATAATATCTACTCAGGTACTGAATACATCATTTAGGCATTTTAGCATTATATGTATTCAAACTGAGATTTTGATAGGAAGGATTCACTTATTTCTGCAAAGGTAGTGACTTGACGTTATATCCTTACTTTTACTAATATAAACAATAAAGATTCATGTTTGAAGGACTTTTCAATGATTGTGATGCATTTTAATAATTAATTTTCTTGTGTGGGAACTCATTATGTTTTACTTTTTGTGACATTTCATTGTGAAGTTATATAATTATACATATCATTTAACAGCTTGTCATAGCTCATAAATATTGTTTAATATCACATGATTATCCAAAGGTACTTCTGTATTTTGACAAAACTCAAGTAACAGTATTTTATCAAATAAATGAATAAAAAAATCGTTAAATGACGGAGATCATGCTATGCTATTTTATGAAATTTAATTATCAGAAAATTGTAAAATCATCAAATTCAATTGCGAGCTTTATTTTGTTAGTAGGACAAATTAATTATTTTAATAAACATGCACAATTTATTTATGTTTTGACAATACATCAATTATATACTTCAGAAACAGTCTTCACAATTTTTTATGAAATGTGTTTCATAGTAACAGTTTGATGGTAAATATACCAGATGTTTATTTTACTTAATCATTTTAAAGAAACACAGAGAGCTTCAAATAATCCAAACGAAGCAGGAACAATTCATCGTGGGTTTTTTTTCTGATTAAACGTTGCACCTTTAGTCTTGTTAATATATTACCGCGATAATTTTCATGATATCGACTGAAAGTAAAATATTTAAATGTGTTTTGATGCAGAAATTTAAACTATATATTATTGCCTTATATTTGACATAGATTTAACATTCCTAAAGCAATGATTTTGTATAAAAGACTTCACACGTTTTGATAACCAAATAAAATAGAGAAAACTGAATTCATAAAGAACGTCAAAAAGGACAATATTGAAAATATTGCTAGGTTTGATTGAGCCTATTCATGGAGGTACTGGAAAATGCAAATAACCGTCTACGCCCCCTCTAGCACCTGCTTAAGTCAATTTCCATATTTAAACATAAAAATGGTGAAATTTCGAATTTATGAATTTAGAAACATCGGCAGGTATGTTCATACGGCGGTTATCATGGAACCTTTAATGTGACACTTTCGTGCTAAAGTTGACCTTGGCCAGTGACTTTGACGTTTTTATATTTTTCTTCACGAAATTTACGTAAGAAGCACAACGCATTCTTTAGAATCGCGTTATGCTTATTTGTCCACTGTCAAGTTGAGTTGAACTAGCTGTATATTTCAAAATATTGGCTATTATACTGGTCATTGACCAATAATTGATAAGAGTCTAGGATAAGCCAAAAATGGAAACTAAACCACTCTTCTATTCAGTGAAGGTTTCCGACCACTTACGAAAGATCATCAAAGACACATGAGTTATTGATTATTTTTGTGAAGCAGAACAAAGGAAACAAATAAAAAACAATTATGGCAAAATGTAAAAGGTATTTTGACTTTTTCCTCACACTTGGATTGGTATAATGCCAGTTTAATTTTCTCTAGAAAACATATCATGTATAATATAATACGGCAAATTTACGATGTTAAATCGATTATGATATACCGCTAGAGTTGAAATAGACAAAATACACTGAATGGCGCAATGTTTGATCTTACGTTCAAACAAGTGAAAATACCGAACGATATTCTTAAAGACTTACAAAATATGGTTTTAGAACAATAAAATATCGGTAAAACAATGCAAGTTTTATAGTCTGTACTAACAAGACGTTCAATGAACGCCGCCTTCCTTATTGATCTTGTTAATCATATTTTATAATACATTAATACATCACTATAGAGATACAAATTTTAATTCTAAAATAGCAATAATTTATCGTTTTTGTTCTAGCCTTACAGAATTATCACCTTTTCCTACTTGTCCTTAAGTTCTTTACATCTGTAATGAATTGTGTATATAAAACTACTCTTCTGCTTTAATTCTGAAAAAAACATTTCCGGTGATATTTCTATGGAATCACGGTGTATGCCATCTAATTTCCTCTTGTAAGTAAGGCTTAATTGGATTTTATGCCAGAAACACTTTAGTCAATACGTTTAATTTATATAAGACATTGACCTTACATAACAAATGATTCACTCTTCGATTCATGTTTACTCAACAAAAACTTTAAGCTTCTGAATACATGAATGAAGGTAAACAAATGAAGTGATCTTTTTTTCATAACAAAATGCCATGGAACATTTTTTCTCATATTTTTCTTATATTCGTGAATGAATGGTTTGCCTTTAATTTCTTTAATTTCCCTTTCAATCAGTGACGATAGATTTAATTGTTGTACAGTAAATCATACATCACGAAGTAATATACATCTGTATGCAAATCTGTAATGATGACATATAATTTGGCCATACAATTTGAAATTGTTTAGGATATATATTGCATGGTGATAATGTAAATGTTCAATACTATGGATCATGTTAATTCAGCTTTGTTAAGATCATATTAGCGAGCTCCACAGACTCGGATATACACCGAAAGCATTAAATCTCATAATTGTTTTTAGTATATGATCGAAATAAAATACAAAACTATATTGTAAACATGAAGCTTACTTGTTCGGGTAGAACCTTGTACCCCAATAAGCCATTAACGATTGGTAACTAATGACAGACAGTTGAAATTAGCGCCACACCTTTGACGTAGTTCGGTTACATCGATATCAGTCTAGTCGATGTCAATTTATATTGACTCTCAATGGAAACAAGAAGAAATTAAAAGTCATGTCATAAAACCATTTTATTGAGTTTTGTACTTGTTTTGGAATAGTTTTTGTTGCTTTTTTTAACAACTTATCAAACAGCTAACAAACTTAACAATGAGAAGAAAAACGCAATCATACGGAATCATAGTGTGAAATTGACATTTTAGCATGTTGAAAACGAAAGGAAATGGGCACATTAGTAAATTTTAACAAGAAAGCTAAAATTCAAAAGCAGAGAAAGTTTTTATCACAAAGAGCAGAAATGGTATGATAATACTATTCCTACTATTAACTAAATAATGTAATGCCTTAATATTATCCTATTGTCCGACCAACATGGACATTTAATGTCTATCAAAAACTAATATATATATATATATATATATATATATATATATATATATATATATATATATATATATATATATATATATATATATATATATATATATATGTGTGTGTGTGTGTGTGTGTGTGTGTGTGTGTGTGTGTGATTATATATCTTTGCAAACGACGTTTTACCAAATAAGTGTGTCTTGTATATCGCCTTCTCAGGCGTTGTATACCAGTATCAATAATTGTTCCGATGCGATAATCAGTGTCGTCTGCTGTTCAAGAGAAGAAAGCAGACTGCTGAAATTCCGATGATAGAAGCAGCGTTAACATTTTGGATTATCAGTGATTTAAAGTAAATGAAAAAAAAAATGTCGTTGACAAGGGATTCTAAAAGACAGTATATTCATTCGTTTAAAAATAATAGGTAAGCGCATTTTGAAGTTATGTGGAATAAAAAATAAATAGATTTAAGATTTATTTTTGTATTTTTCTAATATAAAACTTTATATACTCATTATTATTATTATTATTATTATTATTATTATTATTATTATTATTATTATTATTATTATTATTATTATTATAAGTAGTAGCAGTAGCAGTAGCAGTTGCAGTAGCAGTAGCAGTAGCAGCAGCAGCAGCAGTAGTAGTATATAAGTATATACAAAAATTAACCAATGTATAATATAATTTTTTATTAAATGGCTTTATTACACAACTGTGTAGTGGTTTATGTGATATTCAAAATGATTGTAATTTAACACATTTTTTCATTATTAAACATTCTACCGGAATTATTTATTTACATTATCATTTACTCAAAGCATACCATAACCTGGAGAAAATCAAAAATATTAATCAAAGGATAATTTTATAAGCATCAGTTCATAAGAATAGTTTACAAGTCAAGAAATTAAATGTCAAAAGACTTTTAATATAAAACATTATCATTTAAAAATTATAACTCCCATTGTAAGGAATGTTTTTCTGGAACTGGCATAAATTATCGCGTTGTTACAATGAATAATTTGACTTCCGAAGTAAAAATGAGTATTGTCGGAGTTATGATCCTTTCATCACTGTATTAATTATAGTTCTTAAACTATTGTATGAATTATGATTCTTTAATTATTGTATGAATTATGATCCTTTAAATATTTATGAATACTGATCCTTCATATATTGTATGAATTATGATCCTTCAACTACTGCTGTATATATACTGTATGAATTATGATCCCTTAAGCATTTCATGACCTTTGAACTATTTTATGAAATATGATCATTTAATCTTTGAATATTGTATGATTAACGATCCTTTAAGTATTGTATGAATCATGATCCTTTAAGTGTTGTATGAATCATGACCATTTAAGCTTTGTATGAACTGTGATCATTTAACTGTGGTGTGAATTATGATCTTAAAACTATTGTGTGGAACAAAAAATACAAATTACGAAAACTAAAAACAAGACTAATGTCTGTTTACTTTTATTGCTCGAAACATAGCTAGATGTAGCATGCAAGAGCTTATAAAAACTGCGCTCATTAAATTTATACTACATAATTTGTTATTGTTTTTACACTGAAATAGGCATATGTAGGTTATTTTGATATCATAAAATTTTGAATTTTGTTTGAAAAATCATTCTCTATGCGATACAGTATATCATACAGGTGTAAAAAAATAACATTGGTCTGAACAGTTTAATATCAAGACAAGTTATTTTATCATGCTTTAATTGCACAAAAACGCCGCAGATAGAAACGACTTTCGTTTTAATTACTGTGACATGAATTTTTGATGTATTGCTCGTGGTTCTTGTGTGAACCATTGCACAATAAAGCTTATTCTTCATTAACAGATATATGAATGATAACTGCAATGAAATAGTGCAATATCTGGTAGGTTATCGTTTAACTACCTGTATCATTTCTAACAAATTGTGATCATTATTATTTATTTATTTATTATTATTATTATTATTACTATTATTACTATTATTATTATTATTATTAATAAAATTTGTCACCCTTGTTTTATTTTGCTTGGACATTAACCGTAATCTAGAATAGAATAAGTTACTCAGATGTAATATATCAATATGTCATAAATTTGTGAAATCATTGCAATAACAATAATTATGTTTTTTTCATAAGTATATGCCTACATGATAAATACTTTTTGTTGAAAAAGTAAATGGTCTTCATGCACGAAAAAGAATGAATTTACTTATAAAGAAGATAGGATAGATAAAGTATTAGAAAGAAATACACTTGTACAATGTAAAATATTGCTAATCGCTTATGATATACTATAATGATATACTAATTGGAAATTTGTAACATTGTAAAGAAGGCTAAGTATGATTTATATGTGTGTGTGTCAGGCACGCACGCACACGCACACACACGCACGCATGCACACGCACGCACGCACACGCACACACACACACATATCATTAAAGAATGACAAGCATTATCCTATGTTATAATATATAGCATACGTAGTTTATGTGTTTCGTCTCTCTGCTTCCATCAACAGCGATCGATCCTGACCTGTATTAACTATGAAAGAACTCTTCTTCAGAAGTAAGATTTATTTGAATTTCTGTGACATTTGAACGACATATAACAGTCTTCTATCAGTTATTCTGCTTCAAATACAAATGTCGTCTGCAAAGCGGGAAACAATAATTAAACGCTGTCAGCCAAGCCCGTAATAACGTGCTTTTTTGTCTATCCAGCACCAGGAAAACTCTATGAAATTTGTTCCGTGTGTGCACGATAATTCTGTTGAATAGCGTAGACGTCTATACAACTGATAGTTTTATGATGGTATTACTGCATGCTCGTGTGTTAAAGATTTACGCAAAACTTCTTAAAATGCGTGTCACTCTAATGCAATACTGACTGAAAAATCTTCGTTTTCAGTGGTATAGAAACGTATCAACAAGACGATTTTAAGTATTTTCTAAATTGTCATGACGTCATATGAAATGAGCTTAAAGAATATGGTCGTCTGCTATAACTGCTATGTTCTTATGAAAATACGACATTTCCGTGCATTTATCGACTTCTGCATATTCACTACATACTCGTTCAATGTTTTCTCAAACATATTAGAGCTTCAAATAAAAAGTCTTAATGGAAAATAAAATCAAAATTAGGGTATATGATTGGCAGGTTCGCAATAAAAACCTAACAGAAAGGTCAAATTCAGTGAAATAATATGAGAAAGAGAAAATTATAAGTAAGGTAAACAAAAACAGGAGAATGAAAATTATGGGATGTAAATATGACAGTAAATAATTGTCGTTGGTGGGATCTAAAGTGAATATAGGTCTTTTACTAAATAATTCTACGGGAAGATGTGCACACACGCACGTTCAACATACTTTTCGTCTAATGTGATTGAAGCAGATCTGAATAAATCTCAAATCATTTCAGTTTGAGGAAGCCCTGAAATAACTGAAATGATGCTCGTGGGATATTACCAACAGGAAATACTGTTTAATCAATCCCTGAAATATCCACTCAAGCAAAACTCAATATATAAAACATTTATTCCACTTTAACATCGAAAGATGAAATTGATCTTTTCAGCTGTTAACAAAGTCCATTAAGGAAATATATTTTTAATGATATCTCGAATAGAGCATTCGAGCAATAATCAGATACGCTATATTATATTTACGGTACAACCTTTCAGGAAAAACAAAGCCCTCCTTAAGCAATAACCTCTGTAAAAATATTTAGGTTTTCCCTAAAGTAAGATTATCTAATAAGTCTGAAATGTATAAAGCTATATTTATGTTGTCTGTAGTAACAATATTATTATTTGATTAAATAAAATATGATACCAAGTACATGTATGAAAGAAATTTGTTTTAAATACAATGCATTTCATTCAGAATATGGCATGCATGAAATTATTGCAAAACGTTACAATTCTTACATGAAATAGCAGCGTTATATTTTGTTCTGATTACGTACAATATTCATGTGCAAATAATAGAGACATATTATATCAAAACTATTACATTATATTATGAAAGCAATCTAATTTTTTCGTTTATAAATTTTATAAGAATATACCAATATACCCTTAAACCTCTGGAAAGCAACACCAGCGAACATTATTTGTTTGTTTGGTTTAACTGGTCTACATATAGTAAATGTAATATGGCAGTGAGACAGGAAAGATATAACAAACTTCAAACATCAGGTATAAAAATCACGTCACCTGCTGGAGCTAGGAGGTGCATAGACACCAATTATTTAAACCTATTGGTCACCTCTTACGATCACTCAGGAATATACGGTGATTGCAATTCTTATGCCTCAACCATCGTCGGCAACCCCTCAGCCACACGGGACATCACCCAGTATTGACCTAAATCCTTGTTTCCCAAAGTATGTTACTCTGCGGAGGTTGCACTGTAACAAAATATCAGCGGAAATAATCATTCTTTAACGGTCAACATTCAGATCAGATTTAACTAATGGAAATGCATACACGAGAGATTAAGTATTTCTGTTTTTACTTTTTTAGAATGCCAGTTATTGTTGACTAAATTGTATTCACGTAAATCAATTAAATACTAAAGGCTTTAGAAATTTTGTATTTTAATTGAAACGAACGATTCTTTAATGTCATTTGTTAATTTCTGTCGACTTTGATTAAAAATAGAGGATTTTTATCTTATTTCTGCGTGTGTATACATGTATATGCTATGACGATGATATTTTATATCATTATATCACTATACACTAATTATTTTGTTCTACATTCAATGTGACATTTAACGCTATTTTATAAAACAAATCTTCAGCGCAATTTGACGACATTGTAATTTGACTCTGGTTTCTGAACTCCAATTAACCTTTTACATCCTGTTATTCAAGTGTCTTATTATCAAGGATTCTTTTTTATTGCAAGAACAAATTGCCGATGAAAGAAAATTCAGAGCAAGTTTATTACAGTGTTGTTACTTTCTCATAATGAAATTAAATTCAATGATATTTAAAGGATATTCAGTAAGAATTTATTCATTGAATAAATGAAAATAATAATTTTACTCAAATATTCTGAACCATTTAAGAATATTTCTTTGCGAAATGTCAATAGTTTTTCATAACTTTTATATATTGGATTTGAAATAATTAATAACAAACACTTTGCCAGATGATTCCATAATTATAATTAATGAATTAATTTAGAAAATACATATCAAATGTGAAGGTTATAGGCAACATAGCATTTTATCGATATACCATGTAATATTGTTAAACAGTTTAAAATAAAATAATATCTAATTACATGTTTATAGAAAGAAAATAATTGACATAAATATGAGCAAAGAAGTATGTTTTGTTTATTAATGTCAAATCCAGATCTTACGCTGATTGGTGTAAACATTAATATCCTTATTATTTTGATTATCATAACGTAATGCACTCCAATGATGTCTGTAAAATATCTAAATAATGTGATGCTTGTAAGAATGATACATTTTTACAAAGCAATCTGAGCCACATCACGACAAAACCAACATAGAGGGTTTGCGACCAGCATGGATCCAGACCAGCCTGCGCATCCGCGCAGTCTGATCAGGATCCATGCTGGCTGTTCGCTATCAGTTTCTCTACTTGTAATACGGTTTGTAAGCGAAAATCATGGATCCTGATTAGACTGCGCGGATGCGCAGGCTAATCTGGATCCATGCTGGTCGCAAACGCATTACGTTGGTTTTGTCGTGACTCGGCTCATATGTATCACATCAATAGGATTTTACTGGACCAAGAATCGTAGCTTCACTCTCGTCATAGGAATTCAGAACTACCAAATTTCAGGATGTTGACATTTAACATATCAATATAAGTTGATATAAAAATATGAATTAAAGCACGAACAATCTTTAACTTTAAATACTATACTAAAATGTGTGTCGTAAATAAAGTGACGTTTTGTCGATAACCGATTGTCATCAACATAATTATAAACGTACATGACTGGACAAGTTGTATCAATATACAAGCAAACCTCTCTTCAAGTAAAGAAATCATTAAAAAAATTAATGTTACATGTACTATTCTTTAAGCGAAATCTAGATTTTTTTCCTTTGTTATGCTTGTTTACATTTACATTTAAATCAAATTATTCGATTTCAAATTTGTATACTACATGAACTAGCCAATAGCGATGCTGATGAAGATTTACAAGTAGATCAAGAAATGAACTTTATTCTGACAAATTTTATTCAAATCAGTTTCTATTTATCGCTTTGATTATGCATCAACATATGGTAAAATCTTGAAGAAAATGGATATTTGCTCTTTCAAGTCTGATATTGAAGCATCTAATCTTGCCAACATATTGTCCAATTTTCGTTCGTACGTCAATCGAACTCTGCTTATGTTTTATGATATATATATCGTATTTGAGTAAATTATGTTTGCAAGATCGTATCGATTTATTCAGGGAATAGACATATATTGTTAAAATTAAATTATTGTTAAATGTATAAAGTTTTGTGTATGTATGCCTCATGGGCTTTTAAGCCTAATGGTTTTGATTGAAATAAACTGTATATAAAGAAAACTTTATGAAATTATTTAAGCGCCTGACCAATTTAATTTTGTAAATACTTACTTATAAACTTTAAACTATACTTAAGAAACGGAAGCGACAACATTACTTCTACTAACTAAAACATATTAGTGTTTAATAATCATATACTGAATTTGTAAAGATCACTTTTCTTGCAATTAGAAGATTCATTTTTCATAACAATGTTACAATTACGAGATATATACGCTTAACTTAAGTGATGTTTTTTGGGGTTTGTTTTCGTAAAAGGACCGTTCAGTTAATTTAAGTCTGCAATCAAAGTTTCCTGGCTGTATACTTCGTTTACACCATTGTAAGACTTCGTCTATTTCAAGTTATTCAATTTGACAAGGAAGGGCTAAAATGTAAATATTGTCGTGTTTTGATTTTCTTATAGTTAAATTTGATTTTCTATTTTTGAAGCAATTTACAGACAGTCGAGGACATATTTCAATAAGTTATCGTTAGAATATGTTTATCATTAAGGTTTACGGTTGTTGTGAACATTGTAATAAAGGTCATTATAATGATGGAACCGATTTGTACTTTTAACAGATAATAATAATAATAATAATAATAATAACGTAAAGATACAAGGCATATATCATAAAAATACAAGGTTTACAACATAATGATACAATGTATATAACATAAACAAACAAGGTATAAAATATAAAGATACAAGATATATAACATAACGATACGAGGCATATTACATAATTATACAAGGAATATAACCTAAAGATGAAGCATATAACATAAAGAAACAAGGTATACAACATAATGATACAAGGTAATAAATCATAGAGATACAAGGAATATAACCTAAAAATAAAAGTCTTACAACATAAAGAGACAAGCTATATAACATAAAACACAAAACATATAACATAAAGGTCCTGGGCATATACCATACAAATACAAGGTATGCCATAATGATACAAGGCACACAATATAAAAGAAACAAGGTATATAACATTAAAGATACAAGATAAATAACATAAAGATACAAAGCATACACCACAAAAGATATAAGCATACAACACAAAAAGATACAATATAAATAATATTAATATAGAAGGCATACAAAATTAAAGATAAAAGGCATACAACTTTAAAGATACAATAGAACATAAAGATACAAGACATACAACATTAAAGATACAAGGCATACATCATAAAAGATACAAGGCATACAACATAAAGATACATATTTTATAACATAAGAATAAAATGTATAAAACATAAAGATATAAGGCATGCAACATAAAGATACAAGGTATACAACATAAAGATACAAGGCATAAAATATTAAAGATACAAGGCATACAGCATAAAAGATACAAGGAATATAACATTAAAATACAAGGAATATAATATAAATATACAAGGCATACATCATAAAAGATACAAGACATACAACATAAAGATACATATTTTAAAACATAAGAATAAAATGTATAAAACATAAAGATACAAGGCATGCAACATAAAGATACAAGGTTAACATAATAAAAGATACATAGTAAATAACATAAAGTTACAAGGCATATAATATACTTTTATCTGTACTTTAAACGGATAAAAATAATTACATAAATGAAATAAAGATGCATTATAATTATATAACAATAAATATACAAGGTAAATACAATGTAAATTCATTTTGGTCAAGCCTTTGCTATTGTTATCTTTTTGTGTAACATTCAAACCGAGATATAAAAATAATCTGAAATTTATATTCATAAAAAACTTATGACTTTTATGTTTACCTTTTCTTTTTACAGTTTACGAGGGCGAATCTTGCAATCTCTTCACAGCCGGGCGATGCTAATATTTGTGTGTATGTTGGTTATTTTGGAATGTCTATGTGTTATGGCAGAACTTATGGTCGATCTTCATGGAATCAGAGGTACAAATAAAATTATGTGTAACTTTTTAATAGGTCACATATTTGGGTAATTTGTTATGTTTCCATCTACTTCAAAAAATATGTGAAAGATACTGTCACGAAACATATAATTACTAATGTATATACCAACTTTACTAATTTATTCAGTGAAAAAGACCAACAGTCCTAAACACATAAACGTTCAATACAAAAACAATTGAAATACATGTAAGTATGATTGGTGTAAAAAAATGGTGTTTAAGTTGTTATGCTGAAAACATGTAGGTATGATGTCCACAAAATGCTATCTAAATTCTAAAATTCTAATTAGGTTTTCTTTCTTTCTTATGCTAAAATCTACGAAGCTGTGTTTTTATTAAAATAACATTTCTGCTGCTTACCAATTTACGTAATAAATACCAATTGTATGTCTCTGTTCAGTAGAAATAAAGTAGGGTTACAATACATTATATAATTTTATGATTGCCACAAGTGATAAATATATGCAAACATGAATCATTTATATAGTAGCTATTCTATTGATAACACTCTAATTTAAATAATTTCAGAAAATTAAATCTAGTAGTCCCTATTCTGAAAACCGTTATTTTTAAATTAAAAAAAAATTGAACATAAATCATATCTATGGTTTTTGAGCTTGCTACAAAAACAACAAATACATAACCTTCTTAAATTCTAGATTAGTTAAAAAACAATATATCATTTGTATGAAACAGCATTGAGACATTTTAGTGTCATTTTAATTTCAGTGCGGTTCGATCACGAAGAAGCGGAACTGGACCTTTTTACACAAAAACTTAAGTCAGATGATAGAGAATGTGTAACAGATGCAAACTCTCTGGGAGATGTCTTAGACTTAGTTATAAATACTCAGTTACACTCCAGAAATACCACCAAATGTCTGCATAGTTCAAAATCTTCTTTAAATTCAAACAGTCACAATGATGATGCCAAAAGAAGAAAGAGATATGTAACTTCGGATGATGAACGTGAAATGAGTGAGAAAGAAGAAAGTGTTATTAACGAGTCAAGCGCAAGACCTCATAGATATTCAGTTAAAAAGAGGTCGACAAGAAAGTCTAAGAGAAACACTCATGATCCAAAAGTGTTTGTGTTTACCCTTCACGTTGATAAAGAAAATTACATGGTGATATCGACATTTGAAGATGTCTGTAAGTCAGTCTTGCGCAAAACAAACGGCAGTGTTCATAGTACAAGATATGATGGTTATAAAGAAGAAAATGAAAAGATCCAAACAATATCACACACTATCAAATATATAGGCTTCTCAATCCTATCTGTGATGGTTGTAGAGGTACGTAGAATAAATTCAAAACAGTTGATGTTTTCAAACAAGATTCAACATAACACGCAAAAGCATGTTATTTTAATATATTTTGTTTGTGCAACTTAATTACTGGTAATATTTCGGTCCTTTGTTGCAACAAAAGTCAGCTTTTTGTCACCTTTGATGTTCAGATTTTATTTCACATTCATTTTCAATGCTAGTTTAATACAATCATAGCGCTTATTTGTCGGAGTGTCTTGCAATTTTAAAACTTCTATCATTATACTTGTATGCATAATAGTCCTTGGGTTTATTTTTTATGCATTGAAGGAATAGTATATAAAAGCAAAGCAGTTCACTGCAATGTATTACACTGGTCGTTATTGTATCATTATGGTTGTTATACGATAAAATCAATCATATACATGCGGTTTAATACCAACCGTATAGTCAGGGCAATTTGGTCCTTGAAAACTCAGATCGTCGTTTGCAAATAATCTTGCCAAACGTAAGTCGTAATTGAACGTGAGATAGTTCGTGCCTAGCATACAAGCTGTGTGTCTATTTATTTTCCAGAATCTCCATAAAATTCGTAATAAAAAAGACAGCCATCGCTAAATCAGAGCACTATTACGGTAATGTGTCTGCGAGTATTGGTTATGTCATGACAGGCCTATTAAATGTGTGTCTTGATACATTAGCTGTACAGAATGTTCTCACCCTTAAAATATCTTCATAAGGAGTCATTTGGGAATACTAAAGACTCTTAATAGTAATCAGAAACCTTTATGCATTTCAGTAAAATTGATACTTGGAAAACCTGATTTTTTTCTGCTTCGTCAAATGCGTTGCTAAAACGAGAAAGCAGAGTGCGTTATGTCTATATATACCACAAACTATTTATTTAAACGGTTTTGCCTCTTACACAGACATCTCCATTTTAAATGGAGACTTAAAGGGCCTCCGTTTAAGAACATTTTGGATTTCTAAAATGAAAAAAGAAAACCACATTAAGCGCATGCATTATTAAAAAAGATGTTTTAAACACCATACTTTCAAAGAATATATATCTTGTACTTGTTTGGCGTGTACATTAAAATGATAATACTAATAGAAAATAAGAAAATATAATTAATCATCGTTAATGCTGAAGGACTAACACGTTTCAAGTGAGTACAAGAAGGGTATTTCACTATACTAAATTGTCTGTTTAATGAATTGTTTCGGCGCCTTCATTAGATGATAACTTTAAGACATTTTCCCACGCGAAAATGATGTTAGTTACTATGCCATTTCTATTTCTGATGACAAGCAATAAATCAAATAGATCTATCTAATGTTGTGGTGAACTGACATACTTAAAATAACATGATCATCTATATTATGGTAAGTTTTACGGGTCAACAATCAAGTTGTGGGTAAAATTGATAAAACCAATAAATAAAGCGGTTAATGATCAGGTACTGTGTATTTTAAGTTTTCTTTGTTTACAATCAACAAATTTATCTATTCATGTTATCTTTACTTTAAACTACCAACGATTTAAAAAGAAACAATTTTGATATGATATTAAAATAAATGTCTTATTTTACGAGCTTGATATTCATGATAAAAGAATATTCACTTATCAAAAACTACATAAATATACTACATATTCAACAGTACACTGCCTGGAAAAACCTGTATATATTTACTGTTCAAACAGGCAATTTATTGACAATGCCTGTGTTTTAAGGATAGTGACAGAGAGTATTGCAATTAAGCTTATTCCATTTTTCAGACATTGTTAAAAATGGTGTGTCTTGGCTGTGTGTTCTTCAGAAAGAAAATTGAAGTAAGTACCCTGTTTTAATAAATGGTTTATGATTGAATGTATTTATATCATAATATAAGGCATAATTACTAAGCTAAAAACATGTTATCATTTTCATTTTTCACAACCTTTCTTTGCATATATTTAGTGTCCTACAACATTTTCCAAAAGGTTCACCAATTGTAACCTAAGTGAACATTTGTTTTTTTCGTGTTTTGGCAATTATTTCAGTTATAGTGAATAAGCATTTTGTATGGAAGTCAAAAGCAAATTGTCACATTCAACGATCTTATCTTCAGGTTATATCTCGCACATTTGTTATTGAAGTTACAACAGTATATAACACATATGTTCCCATTTTATAGTAACATTGCGTTTTTCCATTTATCAGGCATAATGTGCTTTTAATTGTTATACCTATTTGTAGTGTAATAAGACCATGACTAGGATAGAAAGCTATAACGGTGAAACATGGTTAAATGTGTTCAATGTCAAATGTCCGTTAAATATACTTAGGTGTGACAAACATGATTTTGTAAATGTAGGAAAATGTAAAATTCCAACGTCTGTATTTATATTTATTTATTTATTTATTTTGTATTCTCATTAACATTGATGCTCTCTATTGTCTTAATGGCAGGTATTTGATGCGGTCATTGTGTTGGTGTCTTTTGTATTAGACGTTATGTTTATTGACAGTAACTGGTATGAGACAGGGAAAGACGCTACATCTATTCTTGTTCTTCTGTTACCATGGAGGATTGTACGAATCATCAACAGTAAGTTCTAATATCTCCTTAAAATATGTTTCATTAGCAAGTATTGCTAAGTTTTGTTCTGATTCATTATTTCTCATTTTTCACGTCAATGCAATCTAATTAATGAAACTTTACGTTTTGAACGGTGATAAGACTTTATTTTACAATTAATTATAAAATTGATCAAATTTTTCAATAACATGTAACTGATACACTCTTGACTTAAATGTGACTTAACTTTGAAATATTTCAGTATAAGCGCCATGATGCATTGTCTTCCTTTCCTGTTTTACGTTTATGGCTAAATACTGAAAAAAAGAATTTATCTTTTAAAATATTTATGAATTTTCATACAAAGAAAAATTATCTATTTTCTTATACTCTGTACATTACAGGTTTCGTGATGACAATAAATCGTAAACATCATATAGAACTAATGACCGTAAAGCGGTCTAAGAAGAAAGTAGTGCTGAAATTAAAGAAATTACGACATCTCATGCTTGAAATGCGGGTAAGTACATCGCGTGTGTGTTTTTAGTCATTAACCTTTTTTTATTATCATATATTAGCTAATTATTTACGAATTCGAAAAAAGCTTGCTTTGTTTGGTCTTGTTTACATTAACATTATGTGTGTTTATATACAATGAAGTTTGGTTTAAACATATTCTATTTCGAACATTTTGTACAGACAAAATCATTATACATTATTGAATAACATAATACAATGCTGAAAAAGGATCAGATACAATGCAGTTTGAGCTATGTTGGTAATTTAGGAATTTAATGATGCAATAATCTATTGGAAATTAGTGCAAATGATATAAATTTGTCGATATATTGCTAGTGAATAAAAGATTACTTTAGCAACATTTTAGAATATCACAGTTTCCAATTAATTTACGTTCGAATTAAGATGAAGATGTTAGAAATGCAATGAAAATATAGAGAATAAAACAATACAACAACAACAACATCAACAAAAAGATCAGCACTCCGTCAGACAGATTGACATCAATCTTCAAATCGAAATAAATCATTGCATTGAGTCATTTAGACTGTGATAGCTAGGCTGTGGCATTTTGATTAATGACTGAAAGTTATGCCAAGGAATGTTTACAAACCCTTATATAGAAAGATGTCGGTGTGTACAAATATTGTGGAGAAATTTCATACAATATTGTTATTAGTTTCTTCCTGTGTTTATGTTTCCGTGATATGTTTGGATAAAGAGATGAAATTCCTATTTAGCAATATAATTGTTTAGAATTTCAATTTATTATTCCTTCTTGCCATTCTTTCATTTCAGAAAATATTGTTGATATTTTTATGACCCAGGTTATTGTTTCAATTTCATATTTGACTTGTTCAATGATATTGTGGATTGTAATGCAAGTTGTGATCACGTTTCTGATATTTGATGCACTAAAAAAACATCGTAACAACTGATTTACTGTTTTCCTTACATTTAAACAAACAGTGATTCATTTAAAAGATAAAACCGCACGCGCCATCATTGCAGTCCATTTTCATATTCGTGATTCGTGGTACCAAATATTTAACTTAGTTTGAGATGTGATTTTCATCTTATAGGTTAAAATAAACATGAAATCCTATTTTAGTTTAGTTTATAGGGTGTATTTTGGTCAGATCGTGTAGGAAGCTATAAGTTTCTAGACACATTCTCTACTCCGTTCCTGGAAATTACCAGTACTGAGCAATGCGTGTAAAGTATCTTGCTCAAGGGGGTTTAAACCCACGCAGCTAGAACTTCTGAGATTAGAGGTCCAGCTCGTTAACCACTAGGGCAAGCCACCACTTATCCTATTTTGATTAATATGATTTTCATTTCATTGAATAATTTTCAAATGAAATTTAGCATTTTATCCTCCGTTATTAGCAACATTATCAATTTCACTTTCATTTGGCTTTATTTCTTTTATCAAAATTTCATTTTAACAAGTAGCAGAAAAAGCACATGTCAGTCAAAAATATATCATTCTTTGCGAGAATGTCGTACGAATGACTTGGACGATACTTGCAGCAAATGGAGATTTTTTAAAATTACTATCTCTACAATTGCAGAAAAGATAAATGTCATCAAAAAGCTGCTTATTCAAAAAGCCAAACAACTCCTTAATGTATAAATATGTGTTTAAATTTCATATCTGTTTTTATATCAATTGCTCGGTACCTAGGTAGTAGAAATAATTTTACACTTTGAACAAATGGCTTACGGCAGTATGACTAATGACGGCCTGAGCAAGGTCATTGGCGTAAGACGACGGACGCGACCGGTACCTTTATATTGTAATTAAATAATGAAATCAAAAGTTATCAAATTAAACGTGTATTTTAATGCAAAAATAGCGTTATTGTATAAATTTTAAAAGCATCAACAAGAAGCCCTCGTATTTTTTTAGAATTCTAAGAAATCTTTTTCTTTCTTTATTTTAGAGAGATATAGATCTGCTTATTACACTTTCTAAGTCAAAGGGGGCATCAGATCCTGAGATATTTAACTGCATATGTAAGTATTATTGGGATACATATTGTACTAATTATATTGATCTGTGTGTTTGCTATATTTTCACTGGTGTTCTAGGTATTTTTCAATGTAATATACAATTAGATATATAAATCATAAACAATCGCCGTATGAACACATCTGCGGATGTTTCTAAATTCAAAATTTTACCAGTTCATGTTTAAATGTTGAATTCTGCTTAAGCCGGTGCCAGGGGCGTGGATTGAAGTTTGACTTGACTTGCACTTGGCAGTACCGTCCATGAACAGGCTCTGCAACATTTTCAATTATGCCGTTTTGGACTTTCTTTATGGATTAATTTTCTATTTTCTCTATTTAACCATTATTGAAGCTATAAATCACTCGTGCTTTTGCATAATATTTAAAGTGTATATTGTATTATATTTAAGGCTTTATACAGAATTGATTCTACAAAATGTACAAAAAGTTCTTCAATGATAATGTTGCTTTTAAAACTTTACTGGCACACATAAAATGTATTTCTTATTGTGTTAGAATGTAAATGGACTTGTTTAAATCATCATGGAATATTGTCAATTTTCTTTTCATTTTCTTTTTCATTCAGATGGGAAAGGTCGGGGTACTAAATCCCTTACAGCGATCACAAGTTTTGCATCGTTGATGTTTATCAGCACACTAGGCAAAGATCCAAGTAACAAAACCAACTGTGATGATATGTATGGAGAATTGATAAGAGATATTCTAGGTGACGATGATGAAGAGGAAGATGACACTGACATGGACAAGACCACTACAGATATTTCAAATGACAAGGTTGCAATTTCAATAGATTCATTAAACAAGAATAGTACGGAGTCAACTGCGTTCAAATGTTACGATATGCGTTATGAATATATTTAAGTACAAAGTTAAGTCTATAGTTTATACAGATTATTTTAGCTCGATTGTGTTACACAGCGACTTGTTTTGTTAATGACGATGTATAGTTTGATATGGATACAGTTATAATAAGTGTATTTAGAATAATGAAAAGCAATGCTGTCAATTAGTCCTGAAATGTGTATCACTTGTGTACATACTAAGAAATTGATAATAGAAAATATAAATTTTGATATCACAATTCAATTTTAAATTATCTTGGTATATGTATGAACTAAACTTAATATTTCACTATATAGGAGACATTATTCTGTTTCAAGAATACATAATTTAAACAGTTTATCTTATCTTTACTTTGTCTTAAAATTACTTCAAAAATAAGAACATATTATTTATTAATTATCAATTAAACGTGTTATTAATTCGTTTCAGGATATGTATACGGATATGCAACGAGTGAATACAGATGAAAGTTTTATAGTCCCAAGTGTAAATAAAAGGAAGACTCTTCCTGCAATAAAAGCTGTAAATTCTAATGCAAAAATAACTCGCCGTGTGACGTTACCAAGGCGACACAAAAGTTGCAGTGATGACGAAGATCCAGTGTTTTATGTAAATAACGCTTATGACATAGATGAAGATTTAAATGCAACAGGTCCATCTTTGTATAAATATAAACGTGATGTAAAGAGTTTACCCCATATCTGCTCGTCTGTTAGAGGCAAAAATTATGTGGTAAGTACATTCTTTAAATGTGTAATCAAAGTAAGATTTTTTATTATATTTGACATAATGTTCAATTTCATGTTATTAGCTTTATAAGCAATAAGGATAAAATTCTGGATAATAAAAAAGGGACGGACGTGTTGATGTCCAGCAAGTTAATTTAACTTTGACGTAGAATTCGTTAATTTATTTTCCCTAATCACGAGTTTTTATTTTAACTGACAAATAAAAACAACAACAACAACAATAATAACAACAATAAATAGAGGATATTCAAGTTCGTTTTTTTCTATATATACAGGATTTATTTTCATCGAGTGGTGTGAAATGAATACTTCATGAGTGGCTGTATTTATAGAAAATAACTTAAATAACTTGTATTTTCTGTTTATTATATACATTTTTTTTATTTTGACATAACAATTTGAAAGAATTTCCGTTCAATTTTTTGTACTGGCAGAATTAAGAAGAAAGCAGTCCGGCAAGACACCAGTGAAAATATGGAAAATATGTTTCACTGCAATGAAAAATAATTTTTTACAGTTAAAATACGAAAAATGAAAATACGCATCTTATTTCATCAATATTGCTCAATATTTCATTTTTAAGTATATAAAAGTCATCATGTTTGCTTAAGCATTTATTCAGGTAATGCCTTACCAGAGATAAGTGCCAAAGTGCATTAATATATTGTGAAACAAAATATCTTTTTAAACAGATACATTGTAAAATTACTTCTTTTTAACTTTTACTTTAGGAAAACCTTTATATTCACTCTGTAAATACGAGAGATGAGCCAGAGTCACTCGGAAATTAAATGAAAAGTTAAGGAATATTTTTCAAAAATACATACCATAATCACTACGAGAATATTTATGTGTAATTATTTCTCTTACAATTAAACAGCAATTATCATAATTGAACAAATTATAACCAATATGTGCATATCTGAGCAAACATAGTAATACGTATACGGCATTCAGTCTGTGACAACGTTATTAGCATTGATTTAAAACATACACAAATATTTTCAATGCGTTTTCTGCTGCGCATAATACAAAGTCAATGCATAAGGACATGTTGGGTGGTCATATTCTCTTGTTGGGCAAGTTTGGATATTTCTCTCCATACGTATGCTTCAAATTCAACCCTTTGAGTTGAATGTTGGACGCCAACTTTTGTTCTGAAATGGACACGACATTTGGCATTTAACGAACGATTAAATAATGTATTGATTAGAAGAGAACTTACATTTAATTTAGTAAAATGTTATTATGGTATTGATAGTACGACATTTTACAGGATTTTAGATTATGTATTATTGATATTAGTAATGCAAATTATTTTCTTTCCACGTGTAATACACGTATATTGTAGAGTCGTTTAAAAGAGTTAACAACAGTCAGTCTAAACTATTTGTGAACAAGGGTCATATTTCTTTCTAAATGTACATAACGAAGAAGTTTAAAAATGATTATTGTTCAGTCTTCATATGCACATGATGCTATGATTGTAATGATATGAACAAGAAATTGTAAGATAACTGTATATACAAACTGCTGCACATATTTACATTTAACTATTATTTTTTCAGACATTTGAGGTGACAACGCAAGTGACATATTTGTAAAGAGCTAACAAAGTATAGATGAAAAGTATGCTGACTTCTTGGTGAACCATGCCATGATGATTGAAGTTGTGTTCAAGTGAAACAGACCAAAATGATACGGGATTTTAATATACTTATGATGTGCCTTTAATCTGATGGCTGTACAATATTACGGATGCAAATTTTGGTTACATTTTACAATTTGTTTGTGCAAAAAACTAAACGAACTGATTCAAATACTTTTCATACTTCTATATTATTTACGAGGGCGTTTACAAAAAATATTTTATATTACTCCTAATATCTACAATTTAAAGTTTTCAGATAACTTTGCATTAAATCAAAATATCCATGCTCTGTCTCTTAAAACCATCGACATGATACCTGTAATATAATCATATGTGCCGTAGTTAGTTATTAGTTTATCAAACTACATGTATATAACATTGGTAACAATCTAACATCGTCATAACTAACATAATTTATTTTAGATTTTAATACTATCATTTTACTTGTGACAAATTTGTTATGTTTGTGTTCCATTAATAACACTCAGTATCATACCACATATATGTTGATCTACCATTTAAAGAACCTTTTAAATGGTAATTTGAAATAATAATATAAATTATTGATTGAAGATTGTTTGATACATAATTGACAAATAAATGAATTACTGAATTTATGTAAGAAATTGCACTTGTACATGTGAAAGAAATAGTGTTATTCTTCAGACAATCCTGTTTCATACTTATAAAGTACTTATAAAACAACTTTGTGCATGTTTGATAATATACTGATTTTATTTTCAATGCCATACAATACGAATGTACTGTATATAAGCTGTTAAAGCTTTAATAACGAAATAAACAGTACGAGTGAGATGCGTTCGTTGTTGCTGTTGTTGTTTTGTAATCAAATGATCCACAAATAAATCCATACAAATGTTTGATTTGCATGTGTCAACGTAAACGTTTTTTTTATAACAATTTTACTATTACTTGAGATTTCTCGATAATACTTAACATCAGTAATGATGTTTGACAAATTTGAATGCCATTTTCATGAAATGCCAATAATCAAGTAGACATGCATGAAATAAACAAGTTATTGACAAATCATAAGCTTAGTTGTGTCACCCTAACTCCGCTTGAAGCGTCTTAAAGTTAAGTTCAAAGCAGTTTATTTTCTTAGACACAAATGCTCACGAGTTTCTTTCTAAAAGGCGAAATAAATGACAGGTCAAGAGCTTTTAATGGTAACATATTTTGTCCTTGTTTACTTGAAATGAACACTGAATATTTCTAAATAATGCAGAATATTCAATACCGGAGAAAAAAAATTAACAGACACGTTAAAAGTGTTGATACAACACATGTACGTTTCTTGTTTATCACTTATCGATGGAGGCAACCATGCAGAAGCATAGTAATTTGTCTCTAGAAAGGCACTTCGTTTCAATAAATACTGTAATTTATATAAGAGTTTCCTTCATATGTGTATTTACATGAAAATTCATAAGAAGCCAGAATAGTTACCAGAAATGTTCACCAATTATTTGTACATTAAAGTGTTGTAAACGCACAAGAACTAACGATTTTCTCATTAAATATATAATGCTGAAGAGAGTTTATGGCTTTAGTTTTTGCTTCGTCAAAGTCGTTAAATTTACTCAATCATATATAGGGATATAATATTTGATTCTTATAATAATGCAAATGTTACGATTCTTCTTGTCGAGGTTATTTATTCCTGACACAACACAGTTCTACAATGACGAGTAACTATTAATTGTTTTCTTTTCTATTCGGCTCAAGGTGATATTCGAAATCGTCCACTTGTAATAATTGAAATAATTGGCAGTATAGGACGTACTAACTGTATTGTATTGTAACAATATGTTCACTGAAGATCCGACAAACTAAACTTCAGGGAAGAACCGTTTGCTGATGTTGTAAGAACTCGTGGTTCAACCCTTTTGCTACTTTTGTATTTATATATGTATTATGATAATATTATGTTATAAATGTGTAAAAAAAGAACAATAAAATATGTTTAAATCAAACAAACTATGCTAAAAGAAACTTGCCGTTTCTGATACAGAAGATAAGCTTGAAATATCAATTTAAACAGGTATGACATCACAAATATCGTAACATGCAACATGTCAGATGAGAAACTTGCAATGGCAACTATTTGGTCCTTTCCGTCAGTCTTCGGTTAAGGACCTCGATCACAGTAGTATGAATACACAATACGGATACGGTATTCCGGTCTAACCTCCGCTAAGAAACTAAACCTATAAACAATTAGTAATTTAATGCTAGGAGTTGTTGACTAGTTTTTTCCCAATATATCAAGTAAAAGTCAACTTCATAGATATAATTGTATACAGTTCATTATTTATATACTTGTTATTATGGTCGTAGAAATCTAAAGTACAAAATGCCAACCTGTTAACATTAAGTCGGATTTGTTTATAATTATGCATCACTGGGTATATCTACATTAAAAATTGTTGTCAGACATTTTTTCAATCATATTTGTACCAAAACAGACATTATTTTCCTTAGGATGTCAAATATAATATACATTCGTTTAACATTATCGAAGATTACACTCCCTGTTTCTGTTCACATTTGAGTCCATGTGGTACTTTTTTCAATCCGTATTGTTTCCGAGGTTATTATGAACAATATCCTAGAGAAACTCGATTACATGATAAACGCAGTTACAAATATAAAATCTTAAGAAGTTTCAAGAAAGTACCATCCGATGATTCAAGTCAAAGATTGATTAACTGATTAAATATTTTACGGATACAAATTACAATTGAAACAAAATGTAGGGCCCCATACACCATCTCTAAAAAACGCTTGCATTTACGAGCTATATACCAGCAATCACGCATGGACACCCTTGAAAATTCGTCACCTTGTCCGATGTATTAAAATAACGGTACGCTGCAAAGATCAGACGTCATAAAGTAACCCGTATTTAACTATAACTGTTAGTGGTATAGAAAAGGCTTAATAACCAATCTTACGTCAATCATCGATGAACTAAAAATAGACGCTGCTATACGTCTGCCTGCAAGATTAAGTCTTTTTTCACTAAGGGGGGTTTAAGTATTTAACTTGAGGAGACGAAGCACGTTTTTTTTAGTTTTTCGATGTTTGACGTAAGATTGGTTATTAACTTTTTTTAATAACAACATTTAAAAAGAAAAAATAGGGGTTTATTTTATACTTTGATTTTGAAAGCGTCCCGGGTTATTTTAAATACCCCGGACAAGGTACAAATTTTTTGGGGGGCCATGCGTTTTTTGGCGGGTATAAATCGAAAATGAAAGGGTTTTTTTAAAGGTTTGGTTGAGGGGGCCCAAACATTTTTTTAAATTTGAAATTTTTTGGTATCCGTAAAATTTTTAATCAGTAATAAACCCTTGAATAACCCGGATGGTACTTTTAAAAACTTTTTAAGTTTTAATTTGTAACTGCTTTTATCATTTTAATCGAGTTTCTCTGGGATTTTTTTCATAAAAAACCCTCAAAACAATAGGGTTTTAAAAAAATCCCAAAACAGGAAATCAAAGTGAACAGAAACGGGGTTTTTAAAATTTTCGATAATTTTAAACCCCAATGAAAATTTTAAAATTTGAAAATCCAAGGAAAATAATGCGTTTGGAAACAAATATGAAAAATTTTTGAAAAAATTTTTTAAATGAAAAAAACCCAAAGGATCATAATTAAAAAACAAATCCCGACTTAATTTTAAAGGTTTTTTTTTGTATTTTAGAATTCTGGGACCATAAAAAAGAAAAAAATTAATGAACTGATATTAAATCGAATTGATTTTTACTTGATTAATTTTGGGAAAAACTATCAAAATTACAAAAAAATAATTTTTTATGGGGTTTTTTCTTACGGATTTAAACCCGGAAAATACCGTATCCGTTTGTGTTTTCATAAAACTGGTTCGAGGCCCTTTTTCCGAAGACGGAGGGAAAGGGGCCCCAAAAAGGGTTGGGCCTTTTGAAATTTGTCATTGACATTTGCATTTTCAAATTTGTATGTAAATACCTTTTTAAAATTGATTTTTCAAGCTTTTTTTCGATCAAAACGGCAAGTTTTTTTTGCATGTTTTTTTGATTTAAACATTTTTTATTTTTTTTTACACATTTAAAACAAATATTATCATAATACAAAATAAAATACAAAAGGGGTTGGGAACCACGGTTTTTTTACAAATCAGAAAAGGGTTCTTCCGAAGTTTAGTTTGTGGTTTCTTCATGAACATATTTTAAATACAATACAGTTAGTCCCCCCTAAAACCCCAAATTTTTTAAATTTAAATTAAAAGGGAAAATTTGAAAAACCCCCTTGAGCCGAAAGAAAAGAAAAAAATTTTAATATTTTACTCTCATTGTGAACGTGTTGTGTGGGAATAAATAACCCAACAAAAAAAACGTAACTTTTGGCATTAATAAAAAAAATTTATACCTATTTTGTTTGATTTAAATTTTAACAAATTTTGACGAAGAAAAAAATAAAGCCAAAAAACCTTTTACTTAAAATTTTAATAAAAACTTTAGTTCTTGTGCTTTAACAACATTTTAATGTAACAAAAAATTTGGTAACTTTTCGGGTAAATTCGGTTTTAAAATTTTTCATGTAAAAACAATAGAAGGAAACTCTTAAAAAAATTACAGTATTTTTTTTGAAACAAAGTCCCTTTTCAGGACAAAACATTTTCTGCAGGGTTCCCCCTCGATAATGATAAACAAAAAACTTTCCATTTTTTAAAACTTTTAACGGTCGGGTTAAATTTTTTTTCCCCGGGATTGAAATTCTCTTTATTTAAAAAATTTAGTGTTCTTTTCAATAAAAAAGGGGACAAAAATTTTTCCATTAAAAGCTCTTGACCTGCCCTTTTTTTGGGCCTTTTTAGAAAGAAACCGTGAGCTTTTTGTGTCAAGAAAATAAATTTCTTTGGGAAATTAACTTAAGACGCTTCAAACGGGTTTGGGTGAAAAACATAAGCTTATGATTTGTCAATAAATTGTTTTTTCATGCATGCTACTTGATTAATTTGGGATTTTTATGAAAAAGGCATTCCCAAAAAATTTTTCCCCCAAAAATATTAAATGAGTTTTTAAAATTTTTCCGAGAAATTCAAGTAAAATAAAAATTTTTATAAAAAAAATTTTGGGACAAATCAAATCAAAAAATTTTTTATGGATTTTTTTGTGGATATTTGATTCAAAAAAACAACAGCAACAAGAAAAGCTCTCCCCGTACTGTTTTTTTCGTTATTTAAAACTTTTAAAAGTTAATACCAAATCATTGTATTTTAGGTTTAAAATAAAAACATATATTAAAAACTGCACAAAGTTTTTTATAAGTACTTTATAAGTTGAAACAGGATTGTTTTGAAGAATCACCTTTTTTTTACATTTCAATTTAAATTTTTTACATAAATTTATAATTATTTTTTTGCATTAGTTCAAACAATCTTTAATCAAAATTTATATTTTTAAATTTTAAATTTTCCCTTTTAAAAGGTTTTTAAATGGTAAACAACATATATTGGGAAAGAAAATGATGTTTTTAATTGGGAAAACAAACAAACAAATTTTCACAAGTAAAAGATAGATTTTAAAAACAAAATAAATTTTTTATTTTGACGAGTTTGATTTTTACCCAAAAATTTATTAAATTGTTTTATAAATAATAAAAATAACTAAGGCACTATGATTATATTTCAGGGAATTTTCGAGGTTTTTAAAAAGAGCAGGGAATTTTTAATTTTAAACAAAATTTAAAAAATTTAAATTTTAATTTTGGATAAAAATAAAAATTTTTTTTAAACCCCCCT